TGGCGGGTGGCGGGTGACGGGTAGCGGGTGGCGGGTGAGGGGTAGCAGGTGACGGGTGGCGGGTGGCGGGTGGCGGGTGGCGGGTTAAAAATATATATGAAAATAAAATATTATAATAAAATATTATTATTGATAATGATATAACTGTATGTTGTAATTTTAAAATAATTTCAACGTTTATGTACTAGCTGCCAGACTCCAAATAAAAGTATTGTCTTGTTTTGTTTTATCTACTTACGCAGACTAAAAAGAAATAATGCCTGTGAAAACAGTCACCTCTCCTTGCTCCGCACCGCAAGTGACGTTTCGTCAGGCTACACGCGGTGTGTCAAATGAAAACGGGCTATGTCAAGCAAGACACATGGCGCGTTTGTCTAGTTTGCTTTTTCTTCCACATCAAGACGAAAGATGATTGCACTTCCCCAACTGTTTAGCCGTGTTTATAACAGACTGCAAGAGATTCTATTATTCTACACGATATCGCATGCACGAGATAGCTTGAGGAACTCATAAAAATTAAAGTAATATTTATCCTGCGACCAGACAAGTAAGATCGCATTCTCTTCTCGACATGTTTGAACAGTGTCTCAGATTTTTGACAAGTGCGTTTGTTCTTTTGTTATAAGTTGGGATAAACATTGCATTGCCCGTGGGATAAATCTTGGTCAATTTGGTTCCCGACTTGTAGTTTAAAATGAACAAAGTGTCTATTTCGAGAAAACAAGGAAATTTTCCTAAGACTAAAGCAACAAAGCTGTCAATGTTAATGCGTACCAGAGAAGGAGCAAGAACGTTTTGGACACAGCATGGACCGTTTTCGCCGCATGTGGCGTCTCAGACGCGAATTGATCTCCTTGTATATATATACAAAAAGGATCTGCCTTTTTTAAATACTACTCAAAAATACTGATTAGGATGGCAATCATGCCGCATACTAGGGCAAAAACTGAGCTACGACACGGGAGGCCGAATCTCTTGCAGTCTGTTATAAACACGGCTAAACAGTTGGGGAAGTGCAATCATCTTTCACAGGCATGATTTCTCGTTTTTTTAATCCATTTTTAGTCCGCGGATTAAAGTAGATAAAACAAAACAAGACAATACTTTTATTTGGAGTCTGGTAACTAGTACGTAAACGTTGAAATTATTTTAAAATTACAACATACAGTTATATCATTATCAATAACAATATTTTGTTATAATATTTTATTTTCATATATATTTTTAACCCGCCACCCGCCACCCGTCACCCGTCACCCGCTACCCCTCACCCTCCACCCGCTACCCGTCACCCGCCACCCGCGGAAAAGTCCTGCCGCTCGATTTACACAGCTTTGATCAAAACATTCTCAGTTTCGAGAATAGTTTATTATAAACCATAAGAAAAGATTTAATTAGAAGCTGAATTTTTCGCTATTTCTCTTTCCCTTTTTACATTCAGTTCATTTTATTTGCCGGAAAGTAAGCCTTAGAAATTAAAAGGACGTTTGATCGATTCACGCTAGCGCGTTCTAGTTTTATTTGAAACTTTATAACGGAATGACATCTGTGAGCAGGGAATACTGAGTCCGCACAGAATTTGATGGTCGGCGAATTTCTTTAAATGTCCATCAATCTGCTAGTGATAAGCTAGCCGTTGTTCACTCGTCTTGCTTGTTTGGGGCTGAGTCTTATTCCGGTCAAAGAGAGAGAAAGAGTGTCTGGCGAGGTTTCAAATATAAATCAAAGATTTGTGAACTCGTGTCTGGCAAACTCTCCAAGTGTTTATATATTTACACAGTTAAACGCACGTTATAACCTCCCCTGCGCTTAACGAGTGTCTTTTGGTTCATAGCTTTCAAAACAACCGCTCCACAGAATGTCACTGCGTAACGCAAAAGAGTATCGAAGTATGACTGCACAAGCAAGACGAGTGAATGATTCAACGGCTAGCTTATCACTAACAGAACGATGGACGATTACAGAAATTGGCCGACCATCAAATTTTGTGCTGACTTATTCCCTGCTCACAGATGTCCTTCCGCTATAAAGTTTAAAATAAGACTAGAATACGCGAGCGTGAATTGATCAAACGTCCTTTTATCTTCTAAGGCTTAATTTCCGGCCAATAAAAATATGAGCTGAATGTAAAAAGTGAAATAGAAATTGCGAAAATTAAACTTCCAGTTAAATCTTTTCTTATGGTTTAGAATAAACTATTCTCAAAACTGAGAATGTTTTGATCAAAGCTGTGTAAATCGAGCCGAAACTGTGCATGGAACCACAGGCGGCCCAAACTCATTGCATGAACGCGGACGTGACTCTTGCTTGCGAGCGGTGTTGTGTTACAAACGGTTATTTACAAAGGCTTGTATGGGATCGATCGGTTTTTCTTAAAAGAGATAAAAAATGTTATGTTCTCAGGACGTTTTGAAGCGTTTTCGGCGAGTTTCAAAACGGCCTGAGACGCGGGCAAACAACAAAGAATACAACAAGGCAACAAGGTACGTCGATTTTATTTAAAAACATAACATTTTTTATCTCTTTTAAGAAAAACCGATCGATCCCATACAAGCCTTTGTAAATAACCGTTTGTAACACAACACCGCTCGCAAGCAAGAGTCACGTCCGCATTCATGTAATGAGTTTGGGCCGCCTGTGATGGAACTTTGCGTTTATTTCCTGTATTTATCTCACCTATTGTATGGAATATGTGTGAACATCTTCATTATGAATCGGTATATTTCAAAGAGCTGCACAGGGAGCAAGAATACTATTGACCGATAATATACAGAGCGGGGGCATCTGTAGTGTCAACTATTACTAGTTAAAAATGTTAATTATGAAAAATCTGACCGATTTCCTTAAATCTGTGGAAACCGGTGTGGATCCGTGCCTGAGGTATTACAGGAATTACACTGTTAGATTACCGGGTTTTTTTTTGGGAAAAAAAAAACAGAACAAAACAAAACAAAGAACAATTGCCCGCGGAAAATAAATGAATTTGAGGAAAGTAGCCGGTTTGAATCAACTTAATAGAAAAATAGCGCCTATTTTTAATTTTCTCCCTTTCTACTCTTGTTTTACAATAGCTCTGTACAGTTCTCTTCAGAGGCAATGAAATGATACCAAGCTATTCTATTCCAGTTACCAGACGATTCAGTGCTTCCTTTTTGTAATTCTAGTGAATATTTATTGACATTTTAGCTCTTTTTAGCTTTCTTAATTTTTCCTATAAAACAATGTATTATTGTAATTGTATAATTTTTAGATTTACTCTCGTTTCGACGTATTTTGAAATTAATTATCATTGTCACTGGAAAGCCCTCTTAGTGTCAATAAATTTTGTATTGTATTGTATTGTAATGACTGCGAAACAACTCGGGAAGTAAGGATGCTGCAAGCACCTATGAAAGGCCGGAAAATTAGCGCGAAACGGACGAACCGCTGTCGCAGGGGAGAGTAGCAGTTCGCCTAGGCATGTTTCCGGCCGTTTGGGCCTTTAGCTCGTGTGCGTCTTTACCTTTTTACTCTTTTCAACGCGAGCGTACGAATAAGCTTTCGAAATGTAAGAATTATAGAGAATTTTCTTTTTTTTTTCAAACCCGATTAGTGCTAACACACATTGATGAAGGAGTCTGAAGAGTCCAGACTCCTTTCCTTATCATAGAACCACTGTGACCGACACCAACTCCACTGACCTAGAAGTAGAAAGCTACTACAAACGCATTTGGTGCCCTACTACTAAAATTAAAAATGTGCAATGCGTATGTGCTGCCGTCACCACTCAATTCATTTGAATGCTCGTCAAGAAGCTGAAAAAAAAAACACTTTTACACCATCTACTAAATTCTCGCCATAGATGGCAGGACGGAATTCCTGATGTAGAGGTGTTCAGGAGGTCAAGGGCTGACTCTGTTACTTTGGAAGCTCTCATCACCTCATATCACCTTTTCTTAGCTTCGCTGGGGAGAAAATTTCAACGGAATAAACTTTTTCAGTCTTCCAAGAGCAGTGTTTTGTGGTAATCTGTGTCGGGAACGATAACACATGACTGCCAGAAACTACGTTTTAAAAGGTATTATATGTTTGAAATAAGACATGGAAAAGGACACATGAGAAAGACCAAGCTTTAGATCATTCCAAGTGGCTTCGTGCCTTGAAGGAGTCAATTGCCGCAATTAAAGGGAAGGGACGGAAGAATTATCAAAAGGCAAACGCAACGAAAGGAGACTTTTCTCAACAGTCTAAACCTCATATGTGTACATTGCCATCGCCGCTGTCGCTCTGTCAGGTCTGTCACAGCTAACAACCCTGTACAGGACAATCATCATCGGAGACCATGTAGCTGACTTCAGTTGGTAATTATCAGATAATCTGAGAAAATCTTTGTACAAATGAAATTTTACGCTTAAAATTGATTGGGTGACAAAATGCTTTTTATCGAATCGAGTGTGTTAATACGTCTTGTATGAATTTTTTAGCATGCGATATCCTTGGGAGCACGTTTCCTAAAGTTGAAGTCTAACATACATTTGTGCCAGTAAAAATTATGCAGTACTCTTTCATCATTGTTGATCCTAGCAGTTTGTAGGACGTGTGTCACTTATGAACCTAGTAAATGCCTTAGTAGCCTTGCCATTAGCGTCTCTGTATCATTATACAGTACTCTTTCATCATTGCTGATCCTAGCAATTTGTAGGGCGTGTGTCACATATGAACCTAGTAAATGGCTTATTACCCTTACCATTGGTGTCTCTGACCTTATCATTATACAGTACTCTTTCATCATCGCTGATCCTAAGCAGTATGTAGAACGCGTGTCGCACATAAACCGTAGTTTAGTAACAGGTGTTGTTTATTCTTGGGTGTGTCCTCTGCTTTAAATCCTTCAAGTTACAGTTCGTTTTTTTTTTCTGTTGTTATTTAAGTGTCATATAATATACTCCTCTTCTATCGCTCTTGGCAGTTTTCAGTTGTTTTATTTTTTTTTTTACTTTTTTGGATTCCCTTCAGCAACTATGGAGGATCTACGTGGAGCAAGCGTACAAACGCGAGGAGACTTACCAAGGCCATCAAGGGAAATACAGCCGCACGAAGCAAATTTAGAGAGGCAGCTCAGAGAGATGAGGCAACGTGAAGAAAATCTGCAAAGCCAACTAAGGGAGACACAGCAACGTGAAGAAAACACACAAAGGCAGTTGAGGGAGATGCAGCAAAACTCTCAAAGACAGTTAAGAGAGATGCAACAACGTGAAGAAAACTTACAACGTCAGCTGAGGGAGACACAGCAACGTGAAGAAAACTTACAAAGGCATTTGAGGGAGACGCAGCAAAACTCACAAAGTCAGCTGAGGGAGACACAGCAACGTGAAGAAAACTTACAAAGTCAGCTTAGGGAGATGCGGCAGCGATTTGAAAACTCCCAACAACGGGTTTCCACCTTGGAAAGACAGCTTAGAGACAAAGACCAGGAAGTAAATGAGCTTGTGTTAAGTCTTTCGTTAGCCCAGCAAACAATAAGTGAACAGCAACAACAGGAAACATGCGACTGGGTCATTTCCCGCGATGAAATTCAAATGACCAATAAATGCCTTGGCAGGGGAGGCTGGGGAAGTGTTTATGAAGGCGTGTATTGTGGCTGTACTGTAGCAGTAAAGCAAATTCATGATCTGATTCTCAGCCCTCATAATATTCGTCTTTTTGAGAGAGAAATAAATATTCCATCCAAATGCCGCCATCCTCACTTGCTTCAGTTTATCGGCGCCACTACCGATGAAGGAAACCCTCTGTTTGTGACGGAGCTGATGGAAAAAAGTTTGCGAGCTCTGTTAGAACAGCGACAACTCTCCGAGATAGAAATACGTATCATTCTTCTGGATGTAGCCCGAGCAATCAACTACCTTCATCAGAAGAAACCAGAGCCCATCATTCACCGGGATGTGAGCAGTGCTAATGTGTTGCTATGGCGACAAGGTGACCAATGGAGAGGCAAAGTGTCTGATTATGGCACTGCTAATTTCATGCAGCAGACCATGACAGTGGCTCCTGGAGCTATGATTTACAGTGCACCTGAGGCACTTACATCAAACCAAACGGTCAAGGTGAGTTTTCTTGAATTTAGAGCTTTTCTGATTCAACACTGTTTCGTCAACACGTTTTAGAGTTAAAAGAAACGCGTTAGTGCATTGATCTTGAGCGCCTAGGATTTTAAGGCCTGGTTGGTCGTTTACTCACACAAAAGAAACTCAACTACACTATGTCCTTCTTCACCTCGGTGTAAAATTGGAAGCCGCAAATTGATGCTCATCTGTTTAGCTTTGTGTGAACCAGACTAACATTCTGTGCTGAGTGGGAGTGGCAATATCTCTTCACAGTAATTTTCAAGGAGTTATAATAACTCCTCTAGTGGGGCTAATTTAATTCCTTACAGTGGAATTATTTTTTGGGGAGTTATTTTAACTCCAAAAAGGAGTTTAAAGAACTCTTTTTCAGGAGTAAAAGTGACCCCAGACATTGATGGAGTTAAAATAACCCCCTAAAAAGGAGTTATCCTGTACCTAAAAGTTTTACTCCACTTTCAGAGTTAAATTAACTCCAAAAACAGTAAAAAACAACCCATGTAAGCAGTGAAAATAACCCCATTTCGGAGTTATTTTAACTCCAGACTGGGAGTAAAAAGAACTCTTTTTCGGGAGTAAGGTGACCCCAAATCTGGAGTTAAATTAGGAGTTAAAGTAACCCCCAAAAAGGGGTTATCCTGTACCTAAAATTTTTACTCCATTTTTGGAGTTATAATAACTCCCTAAAAATTACGGTGTTGCTGCTTAATTCCCGGCCAAACGGTGGTAACGGTGTTAGTTTTAAGCTTCATCGTTTGACCTCAAGCATTCATGGGTAATCTCTACTATTGATCGTTTTCCAAGAGTTTACGCAACGAAAACAAGCTGTAGACGTGTGGTTTTATCATTAATTGTTCAGTTTGAAAATCGTACTGGAGACTTCACATCTAAATCTGATAGAGTCAAACCTTTCCAAAACGACCGCCTTTGGGAGAGAGTAACGTCACGGCGTGGGAAAGTGGCCGTTACAGTGAAGTCAGTTCAAGGGTACCCCCCCTCCCCCCGCAAGATTCCAATAATGAATTTATTTTGCGAAAGTTGAATCCGTTGGTAGTTGTAGATTTCTGATTCATCTCTGCATTCTTAGATGCACAATTTGCCGTCAATTCACACGCGAAGCAGTTCTGATATTTCTATCAGCATAGTTTCCCTGAACTTGATGTAAATGTAGCCTAAATGTTTTCGAAGCAATTTTTTCCATTCAAAGATTTTCAATCTGACCAAATACAGAAAAGTTCTCGTTGAAATATTCACTGCTCATTACGCATGCAGGAATGCCGATTGAATTTGAAACTAGTTACGGGAACGACTAACGGATCATTTTTCAAATAATCAATTCATTAATAGAACATGATGTTGGGGGGTACGCTTGACCTGCATTGACTGTAAGGGGAGGCGGGGTGTAAAGTGACACCATGGTTTATTGGGGGGGGGGGGGGGGGGGGGAGGAGTTTGCAATATCTGGGTGAAGTTTATCCTACAGCTTAATAAGATCACAAACAGAATGTAATACTTACAGTCAATCCAGTTCAAGTGTATCCCCCGAGATTCGATTAATGAACTTATAATTCTAAAGTTGAATCCGTTGGTTTTTGTAGATTTCAGACTCATCTCTGCATTCCTGTATGCTTAATTAGCAGTTAATTTACACGCGAGGTACATGCAGTTACCAGTTCTAGCAGCTTAGTTTTCTTGAATTTGATGTAAATGTCTTCAAAGCAGTTTTATCCATTCAAAGATTTTTCAATCTGACCGAATACAGAGAGGCTATCGTAATCAAATCACTGCCAATCACTCATACAGGAATGCAGATTTGAATTTGATACTGGTTGCGTAGTTACAAAGGGAAGGAATGATCTAAAATGACCTAAAAACGAGCTACAACGGTATCTAAAATAAATATTGGAAGATATCTCAAATAACCTTAAATTATTAAACTAATACAGGCAAAAGGATGTAATTTCGCTGACCGCGCATGTCGTTTCGAAAGAGTTCTTCTATTAAAATATGTTTGTAACATGTTTCCTTAAGAATGCAACAAAGTTACGTTGACACACGACGCAACTGGATTAGTATGACACGTAAGCCTCCTAGTCACGCGGCGCGGAGATGATGGCGCGATAAAAAGCTATTTTGCCTAACAAATCAGTTGCCATTAGAGCTCACACCGCACTTGTTCTACATCAATCAAAACTCCAAACGATCAGGCCCAATTTTAGCATCTTACATATTCGTGGCAAAATTTTATTTAGAGTATGATCTCAGGCTTAATACAGTCGACAGGTAAACTCAAGATTTTTGCGCCATCAGCTCTACTGCAATCAAAACTGCGTTGCTGGGCGAATTTTTTTTCTTCGTGTCATCATCTCCGCACCGCGTGACAAGACGACTTACGTGGCACACTAATCCTGCTCTTTGTCAACGTAAAGTTTATATTGAGTTGTTTATTAGGAAACCTTCAACGGTATAACTAAGAAGTAGGTGAGACCGAGAACTGTCCACAATGAACATCAACTTTCAGGAAGTTTGAATTGTTTCGAAACCACTTTCGAGGCCAGTAAAAAAAAAAAAATTAAAAATGTGTGTATTGTTCATAGGTTGATGTTTATAGCTTTGGTGTTCTTCTTTGTGAAATGTGCGTCCGGGAACTTCCAGATCCTAGAAGGCGTGAAGAGCAAGTTCTGCTCATGACGAACCACGTGTTGAGAGGCCTGGTACGGCGATGCCTGCAGACAGATCCTGAAGCGAGACCAACAATGCAGGGGATAATAGATGAACTTTCAAGATCTGTGTAACGTGCATCAAATATTTTGTTTATGATTTTGTGAAAACCTTCGTAATTGATAGAATTGAATCGTTAGAAATCTTTCGTGCGGGAAGTCGTGTCCAATCGTTTATCATGACAACGTAGTAAGTTTACCCAAGTGTTACTAGAAAACAAATTACTCAGGTTGAAAACAGATTTACCACTTATTTGCCTTTTATTTTGTTAAAGCGATGTTCTTTTCTTATAAAATTACACTCAGTGAAGTGTGGCATTTTCACGTGAAAGATCAAAGAAAAAGAGAGGTCTTCGATTCTCTGTAAAGTTTTAGTACTGGTGCCCAAAAGCCATATATACTTCTCATTTACCGTCGTGGGAAATAGACCTCTTTATCCGGTATGTTTTGTTTTCCCAATGAAGGGGAATTTTGCCGAAATTTGGCCCTTTGTCTTGTCATAAAGGATGCGTACATATGCACATGAATAAGACAAAATTTAAAAGAAAAAGTTATGTGGATTATTGGGTGCGGTCACGCTGGTGATTTTACCCTTGGACAAATGAGTGTTGCCCAGGGGGAAGTAACTTTTTGAGTGTGATCGATTTTCCTAAGGTGAAATTTCCTCGGGAAAATTACTATGGATACGTCAAAAAGAACAAAAGAATTACCAATGACAGTTTCCGAGTTAAATTCTATGGGTTAAAAAATACCCAAAGCGGCTCAACGAATCACGAAAAAGAGGAATGTACCACGTGTTGTACACGTGCTGAGTTAGTCTTGGCGCCAAATCCTAATCGAAGTTCGAAAACTCAGCAGGATTTTGATCGCTGCTGTGAATGTGTTACGTTAACTTCATAAGCACCTTGAAACACTCAAACAACACATCAGAGTTCAAGAATTCTTTCCTTATGAAGTCGTTGGAACCATTTTTGTAAACCCGTACTTTTGACTGTTGAGCGAGAATTTGCCTTTGTTTACAACGACGTTTTGCGGCGAAACCGGGTTCAAGTTTTTTCTACCCCCTTAGAGAATTTATCGCTGTGTAACCGCAAACATGAAAAGGATCAAAGCCCAGAGTGAACCCAATCCAAGCGTTTTTCCCATTTGAAGCCTTGGGGAAGACGTCTAGTGTGACCG